GTGCCTTTTTGTTCGAAAACTATAGGCCTCGGAAAATCACATGATCGGAAAATCGATCCTACGCCCTGTCAATCTGATATAAGTACTGTCGTACGGTTGATTTTTTATTGGTTCGTTGCACATAATTTATATTACTATTCTCGACCTATTTATTATCATTGTGTTAAAGCATTCGTATTTGAAATGATTTTTGAAATTGGATAAATAACCCAGAAACCTCATAATGGTACAAACAACTCATATATATATATATATATTGGGAAATAAATGTAGTAGTTTATGGGTTCATTTAATGTATACAAATATTGGTTAACCTCCTATAACATAAGAATTCTAAGCTACGTACCAAATCTAGATTTACGAGCCGTTATACGTATTTAACAATTCTAACGCTAATACGTATTAAATACCGCAGTCAAATCAACCACATCTAGGAATGGGCAAACTATGCATGAATGTGCCCTATGTAAAGTAATTTAGTCAGGTTAAATTTAGTAACGTATGATAAGCGTTTATTATACTCACGCGTATAATAGTTGATCATACTCTTTAGACTAATTCTTGAACTATTCATATAAACCTACACCCCTACCATAATCTTAACACGAGTATAGTCCTAACCTAACTATCTGTAGATAGTATAATCTACTATGTCATATGCTTGTCTTTTTTTTTACATAACTTCTTTTGTATTTCCGACTATACTACTATATGCAATAGTCATGATTCATACGCGTGAAATAGCATATATGCCTACAAGCAATTATAACAAATGCTACCATACCACAAGTCAATTTATTAAACAAATGAGTAACTAATATAAATGTAAACATGTTTACTTCAATAAAAACAAAAGTATATGTTTATGTATTTATTATATATACTGATATCATGCATTTAACAATGCATGAAACATATTATTTGCTGCTGAGATAATCTAGTCAGATGACCTGTGCTTTAACGAGAAAACATACGGGTATACTCTATTGTCGAATATGGTGCATTAAGTAATCCACAGATTAATAAGTTAAACTGACACTCAAAATAGAATAAAAAATCGGTCACAAAGTAGTAAATCACAAGGATTTCTTTTTTTCATTATAATAAACCTTGATATTTCAGTCTTCTTTCTGAACCAGATGCGAATTTAATCCTTGTTTATTTCGTGCTATCTCGATGGCGATAAACTAATAGTAAAATTATATTTAGCAAAAAAATAATAAAGAAATCATTATGTGAATGCCTTTAATGCCTTTATTACCTGAATTCGTGTTACTAATTATTTGAACCAACAAATTAAGCAACATAAACATATGAAATAATAGTGTTGAGCAAATTGCGGATCATCGGTTTTAAAAAAAAAGTTTATAATTACCAAATATTGTGTTTTCTTCAGTATAATCTCCATTAACATTCTTTCTTAGCAAGGTGCCAAAATTATAATCATTAACTCTTTTTTCATACTTCATCATCCATTCACGCCAGGTGTTCTTTGCTTCGGGTGTTTTCATGGCATCTTCATCTACCTCCGCTATAGAAAAATCGGGAAACGTCCTCATAAAATCTTCATAGATTTCGTCATCGATTCTGTTTTTTACGAACAAACATTATAACGGATGTGTATATAAACATCCAAAAGAATAAAAAAAACTATATCACACGAGGTTAAACGAAGGGATTTGCCATCAACAGAAGATATCAACTTGAAATATGTTTCTGCATGGTGCATGGCCTTAACGGCCCACTGCTTCTCTGAAAGCAACGTACATATTTTTTAGTTCAATTGCTATCATGATTAAGATTTTAAAGAAAATAGATTGAATCTGACAAACCAATCTCAGGAAGTTGTTCAAGTTCGTCTGCACTTGGAAGTGGCATAATATAGAATTAGACCATGTTTGTTAAAGTTAAAAAGAAATTGAAAAATGGAAGCGTTGATCGAAATTGTAACCAATGGGAACCAATTAAATTTGTAATTGATCACAAAATCTAAACGCTAATAAAAATTTTCATGTGATAAAGAATAAGCCAATTTTATTGGCTAATAGTTTGCTAATTTCCTAAAATTGATTCTTGTATTTTTCGCGGGCTACCTTGGAAGTTACACAACACTTTTAGGAAATTTTACTGGTTAATTTTTGCATTTACTTAAAAAATTGTTTGTGTATCTTCCAAACGCAAAACAGACCCACAGAAATACCAAAATACCTTATCCTTAAGTTTAGCAATATTTAAAAATTGAGTTTTTCCCATCGTAGTCAATGACTGAGGCCGAACCACCTATAAATCCTGTGTCAAATGGAAACGAATTTACTTCAACAGACATAGAATGGTTATATTCTAGAATTCAAGCTGTTATTCAAACTCCAAAACCTTCGATATCTCCACGTCAAGTAACTCCTTTCGATAGCATGAGTCCCGCGCGAAGTCAATCTCCGGAACAATTTAACGACGAAGCTGAAGAAAAAATCGAACCACAACTTCCGGAGGTAACTGACGTCATTCTTGTCGAATCTACAAATCAAAAGGAGAATGAATGTGATGACACAGAAGGTATTTCAATAGACTGTCATTGTCAAAGCATCAAAGTGACATCGGGGACTGCAATTTGCAGTGACTGTGGCAGAGATATACCAATACTGGCACATTTGAATAGAGAACGATTGCAAAGTATTGATGATTTAGAGGTTGCAAATAATAGAATAAAGGAAGAATTTGATAAAGCGGAACGACAGAATGATGAAATTCATAATTTACAAAAGCGAATTATAGAACTGGAAGATCAAATTGATCTAAAAACCGATGAGTTAAATTCTAAAACTAAAGAATTAAATTCTAAAGCTGAAGAATTAAATTCAAAAACTGACGAATTAAATTCTTTAAAAGAGGACATGGCTTCTTTAAATGATAAATATGTAGATGAAATTGAAAAAGTCGCAGAATTACAACATTCCAAAGACATGGTAGAGAGTGAGTTAGAAGATTTAACTCAAAAACTTTTTGAAAAGGCCAACGAATTAGTAGCAACTGAAGCAAAACAGCGGCATGAACTACAACTCCAACATAATATTTTGAAGAAACAATTAGAAGAGACACAAGGACGTCTAACAGCTGAAAGTTCTCAGCTAATGGAATTAAGAGAAAAGATGGAGCAAATGGTCCAACAACAGTCACAAATGACAGAAAGCGAAAGATTGAGCTTCAGTGATCCTTCATTTAGAGCTAGCATTGATTTTGCTGAACTTTTTGGGCTTCGTGAAAAATCACCTGAAGCGGCAGCAACCTTACCCGGCCCAACAGGAGTAGATGGTATTGGAATTGACGCTGATCTAATAGCGGAGTTTAAAGATTTTGTTGAACAAAGTTCAACCGTACGACTTCAAAAAATTCATACTATCCCTTTCATGCGTCATTGCTTGGAAGAAGATGTTACACCTTGCATGAGATTCGGTAATAATCCACGTGTATTTCCAAGTAAAATAGTTGAAGCTATCGTTGCCAACACATGCTTCATAGAGGAAGCACCTCCAGGTGCTGACCGAGAGCAAGCTCTTAACCCAAATTCTCCTATCCGCGCCAGCGCGGCAAGACCAATGTTATGGGATCGTGCATTTGGAAATTCTTCTGCAACAAGAATTGGTTGCCAATGTTGCGGTCGAACGGGTCCTTTAGCTTTTAGATACAGAATAACTAATTTGGATGATTGGTCACTTATTGATCGTTATTGTCGTGATCGTATGGTTGCTGTATGCGAATTCTACGTCTTTATACGTAATGTTCGTCAAGGCTTATATAATAATCGTTCTATTTCGGACCTTTATGCTGAATGCTTAAGGTTAAGATTGCAAATGTTTTATGCGAGACTTGGTGCTTTGCCATCAATGCTCAGCTCACTTGGAATAAAGGGCACAGAGTTTGCATCTGCAAAGAAACCAACGTATATACTACCAGAAATGGAAGAAAGTCCAGTGTTGGTTATTAGTGATGATGCTTCTGGAACTTTATATAACGACCAGAAAGATTTTGTATCGGTGTCTCCACTAGAGGTCGGAATCGGTTTGTCTGATTCAACTTTAAATTCTGGTTAACCCGGTTTTAATAATAACCCGTTTCAATAGAAACCGGTTTTAATAATAAATCGGTTTTATAGTAAATGAAGGCTAATTCGGTTGTAAAACTCTAATAAACCAAGTTTAAAATTAAATTCGGTTTATTTATTATGAAAATAAGTATTGCAATCAATTCGGTTTTAAATTTCCAACCGGCTCCGACCTCTAGTCTCCACTAGAGTTTAGGACCGGGTGTCAAAACGGTTCAACCGGGTCAAAAATTTACAACTAGGGTCAAAACGGTGAATATGTAACCTCTAAAAATTTGTTACTATTACACAGAAAACATAACAAAATTTAACACATTATTATTGTATTGTGAATAAACACACATTTTTTTCTTACTAATTTATCTAAATGTTTACTCCCGCTAATCTGGATTTAAAAAAAAAAGTTACGAACTTTTGGAGGCTACTATACGGACTATCTATTGCTGCAAAAATTTCGTTAAAAATTTGCCTTTGTATAAACCTTCATTATTATTTTCTTTGCTTTGCTAATATGTGTTCGATAGTATCCCGAGAGTTCGTAGCGCTGGGATTCGGATCATGTCGATAGAGTGATGCATAAAATTAATGGTCTTAAGACCAGTTCGGACCGGTGTTCATAAATAGCTATAAAAAAATTATTTTAAACGATCGCTTATTTCAATTACCGATGTTATATGATTTAATTCACTCCGCTAGCCAATAGAATAGTTAGAGGTCGGGTCCGCCTTTTTGGAACCAAAAAACGTTAATGGACTCTTGGGCTAAAATTCGTTTGATTGGCCGGTTTTGGAGGTCGGCTAAAGCGGAGCGAGTTTTGATTGTCTACGTAGTACAATGTCGATCACGTGAATGGTTGTCTACTTTGAATATCGATTATGTGCATAAACCAATCAACACTTACCATAAATTAAATTTTTTTAAAAAATTTAACTAAAGTATCTCGATAATTATCCAAGTAAATCAAATAAACTTTTTTTTTTTTTTAATGCTGAAGATTTGTAAAAGTAAAATAAAAAAAAATTCATTGAATTTGCTTGGATAGTTGTCGAGATATCTTCGCTCAAAGTTATGTAAAATTTAAAATACTTGTATATAATTATGATGATAAACACTTGTACAATAACTTTGAACGAAGATATCTCGACATCTATTCAAGCAAATTCGATGAATTTTTTTTTTTTTTAATGCTGAAGATTTGTAAAAGTAAAATAAAAAAAATTCATTGAATTTGCTTGGATAGTTGTCGAGATATCTTCGCTCAAAATTATGTAAAATTTAAATACTTATACATAAATATGATGATAAACACTTGTGCAATAACTTTGAACGAAGATATCTCGATATCTATTCAAGCAAATTCGATGAACTTTTTTTTTGTTAATGCCGAAGATTTGTAAAAGTAAAATAAAAAAAAATTCATTGAATTTGCTTGGATAGTTGTCGAGATATCTTCGCTCAAAGTTATGTAAAATTTAAAATACTTATACATACAGTTAGTGTTCCGCACGAACCGGACCGGGCGGATATTTTTAAAGATTCGGATCCGGTCCGGAAAACCAATTCGGATC